GGTCAGTGGTGGGGAAGGTGTTCAAGCTCTGGGCATTCGCGCTCAAGGGCAGGTGGTCTTGGAATCCTATCAGATTGTTAGTGCAAACTCTTCACGCCACTGACCAGCTTAGTTGACACCTTGCAAACAGTGTCCAGAACTGTCGAGCGAACGACTTCTGGGAGAACGTAAAGCCCAGCAAAGTCCAGAGGAAGCCAGTGTGGATGACATTTGACGACAAATGGGTAGACGAGGTACGTAGAGCCATCAAGGCATGCGCGGTCTTCCTCTGGTATCCTCTCTACTGTAAGTATCTGGGCCAAGGTTTCTAGACACTTCCATCTAACAAGGCTAGGGCTGGCCTACGGACAAATGACCAACAATCTCACCTCTCAAGCGGCTACCATGGAGCTTCATGGCGTCCCAAATGATATCATCATGAACCTGAACCCGCTGACTCTAATTATCTTCATACCCATCATGGACCAGTTTGTCTATCCTGGAATCCAGCGATTGGGCTTCCAGTTTACCCCTCTGAAACGGATGTACGCAGGCTACATGCTCGCCGCTCTATCCATGGTATCAGCCACCGTGATACAGCACTATATCTATAAAATAGGTGAATGTGGCGAGTATCCGGGCGAGAAGAGCTGCAAGACTCCTGCGCCCATCAACGTCTGGGTGCAAACTGTGCCGTACGTCTTGATTGCTTTTTCCGAGATCTTCACCTCGATCACTGGATACGAGTATGCATTCACCAAGGCGCCGAAGAATATGAAGAGCTTAGGTATGTTCTATATATCCATTGTTTACTGCATCGACTAATATAAATATAACCATAGTACAATCTATTTACCTCTTCATGAATGCCATTTCGTCTGCAATCCAACAAGGTCTGACTCCTCTATCTACCGATCCCCTCCTTGTGTGGAACTATGGGTTCGTCGCTGTTCTTGCCTTCATCGGGGGCAATCTCTTTTGGATCACGCATCGCAAGCTGGACAAGGAAGAGGACGAGCTCAACAGACTCGAGGCGTCTTCCTACCTGGGCCGTGGACCACGCGCTCAAAATGAGAAAACCGATGTCTAGCAATAGCAACTTGCCTACGGAGTACGGAGTCAAGGTACGGTGTTCAACGCAGAGGTGCTCAATATGCATTGTGAAGTGAGACGATATGTTGTTCGATCACGGGACATGTCAGTGCACCGGTATGCACATAACAGATTGAAGAGAAACAAGATGATTATTTGACATTCCAGGAGCTCACATCGTAAACAAGACATGACGAGACATCAATTGTAGAGGAGATTCATAGAATACAGTACAACCAGTGTACACACAGCCGCTGCAGCACCATGTGAGCCACCCAGCAGAGAAACAATCACAATCAAACGCCCTGCGCCACCCACGCAAAAAAAAAAAAAAAAAAAAAAAAAAGGATCTATAAACCCAAAACAAACGACTTTTCAGTCCCCGCAAAGCAATGAAGAACCACCAAAACGCTTCAACCAAAGACAGAAAGAAGCAAGCAAGCAAGCAACAAAAGAGATCACTGCTGCTCCTTCTTCTCCTCCGACTTGACCTCCTTAGGCTGCTGCTGCTGCTGCTGCTGGCCCTCCTTATGCAACTCAGGGTGCTCCCAAACACTCTGATGCTTCTTCTTCAACCTATCCTCCTCAGCAGCAACCATATCCTTCCACAGATCACCCTCGCCCTGACCTTGCTCCTGCACAGGGAGCTCCTCAACAACATGACCCTGCTTAGCGCTCTCCTCCTCCAACCTCTTCTTCAAGATCCCCTTGCCCTTCTTCTGATCACTGATCTCAAACGCCGCACTAGCAACCAAGACCGCGAGCGTCAATCCCTGGGCGTAGACACGAGCCTGGACGATCTTCTGCTGGCCGCTGAGATACGGGTTGCGGCCGACAAGCACAAAGCTCCCGATCATGGATGCCACCCACGTCGCCGTCACAATGGTGTACTTCTCCTTGCGGGCCCACGCCAGCGACCGCTCCATAAAGCTCATGCCCTGCAGCGACTCCTCGCGCAGCCGCTGCTCCCGGTTCTGGTACCATTGCTGGTCGGCGTTGCGCTCGGCTTCGAAGTTCCGCGATGAGTTGTCGGCCGCGATGATTCCGACGAACGTACCCGACGACGTCACCAGGAAGGCTTTCATGGGCAACGTCAGGTTGCGGATTGTGTGGTACCGGCGTGAGGCGGCGAGGACGCCGGCGTAGCCGCCGATTAGGCCCAGGACGGTGCCGATTGTGCCGCCTTTGAGGACTGCTCTGTTTTTTAAGTTTGGTTAGTTGGTGTTTTCGGGGGGAGTTTGGGAGGGATTGGGGAATTTGGGATGAGTTGTATGGCGTTGAGGGGGTGGGCTAACCTGTAGTGAGCGTCTTCTTCTTCCTTGGTGAGAAGCTTCATGGTGTGTGTTTGTGTTTGTGTTTGTGAGCGATGTATTAATGACAATTATATATGTGTGGTATCTGGAAATTCTTCAATCGAAGAAATGGAAGGTGTTCTGCAAAAACGGTATGGGAATCGAGGAGGAGGAGCTATGGCACCGGCGAGGATTTAAATAGCGAAGCGCACGAAAAAGAACTGACTCGGCGATTGAGCAAAGGCCGTGACGTACCGATGAACAGCAATTTAGGTATTCGGGGTCTGCCGGGCAAAGCTCGGAAGCCATGGGTGGTGCAGCGGGCTAAACTCTTTACGGGCACATGACGCCAGACTTCTCGCGCGAGAAGAAATCGGCCTGAGTCAGCCGTTGCGGGTAATTTGGTGTCTTTCCGGATGGCATGATTGGCAGGTTACTCCTACCGACTCCGGCATAGACTTCCCGGAGAATATTCTTTCCATCGTTTGTGTAAGTATTGTATTGTTTGTTCTAGACTAATGATTTAACAATCCCATGACGCCGGCACCCGAACCGTAGGTAACACTTTGCGAGATAATCGGATAAAAACATAAGAAAATGCGATCGGCAAGACGAGGAGAAAAAAAATGAAGAAATAAAACAGATATGGGAGTAGCCATGCATTCGACATGTGGCAACAAGAATATGAATGAAAACGAATCAACCCTATCGACGCGATCCCTTCGACGCCGCAATCTGTCGTGCACGCATCTTTCGGAATCGATCCTCTCCACTGGCACCCAGTGGCCGTGCGAACTTGCTCTCCTGCACCATCGTCGGGCGAGGCACGACGGTATAGCTGGTATGTGTGATCTCGGCGCGGGCACGGTTTGCCAGACGAGGAGGAAGCAGTTCGCGAGCGCGCGCTTCTGCCGCAGTGGCCTGGGCCGATTGCGTAGTCCGTTGGACTTTTCTAGACAATCTAGTTAGTTTCTGATGCAGGTCAAGCAAACTTGGGGGGTGTTGGAAGACATACCGAGGGTCGAATTCCGCTTCCTGGTAGACTCGTTTGGAGTAATCATCGCTGCGCTGGAGGATGGGGCGCGTCCATTCAGCAAGCAAACGCTCGGCCATACGCTTGATGCCGGCTTCGGGGCGTTTGCTCCGGGTGTAGAATACAATCACCTTGCCGATCCCACTAGCAACAAGCGCCTCCTTGTTGATTGGAAGCTTAGCTAGTGCGGTCATCAAATCGCGCTGGATATTGTAGGCCGGCAGCGAGCCGTCATCCAAAGGCTCCAGGAAGAACTTGACCGCCTCAAGCAGGTTGATTTCCGGGTCAACCAGACTGTTCACATATTGGTTGCGATTGAGTAGAGAAACCACCTCAGGCAGCATCTTCAACTTATGCATAGCGGGCTTGCCCTCCCGACGACTGATGGCGTCCATCTGAGCAGCATGGGTCATGCGCTTGCGCATATCCTCAATCTCGGCATCGGCCATTTGTTCCAGGTCCTATCAATACCAATTAGCACCCAGCCACACAGTAGACATCAAACATCCAACATACAATCCCATCAGCCTTGCGAAAGCGCCTCTTAGTAGGTTTCTTCAGCGCCTCATCCATAGCACGATCCAAAGCCCTGCGACGGCCTACTCCAGTTAGCCCCACCGAGAAAGGAAAAAGGTACAAAAGAACAGAACATACGAGTAGCAGGATCCAACGTCTCATCATCCTCGGGGGTAGGCTCCCTCCTCTTCCTCTCCCTCTTCTTCGCCTTGGCCTCACCCTCATCACCAGCCTCCTCCAAGTCCCTCATCCTGCGACTCTTCTTCTCCCTGCGTCCCTCCCGCTTGCGCGTCGACCGTTCCCCATCCTCAGTCCTCTTCCGCTTATGTCGTCCAATCAGCTTCAGATTATCCTCGTCAATCGCCAACTGCGGCCGATCTTCGACGTCGACATTCTCAGGGTCAAAGTCCTCGAACTGCGCCTCGTCGACCTCCGACAGAATCGACTCGTCATCGGACCCGATATCCTTCTCATCTGCTGCATCCTCGTCCGCAACCTCGTCGCCAGCGGATGCCTCCTCGACCGCATGGGGCTCGTCATCGCCGGCGCCGGGAGTAGGCGCTTGCACGGGGTCTTCCTCGACCGGCTTGATCTCAGGACTGGCGGACATGATTGCTTAGTCTGTGTGGGGTGTGTAAGGCGTGTATGTTTCGTAGAAAGTGAAGCAAGTCGATAGCGCCAGGCGCTCGCTCCGTTGCTATTGCGACGGGAGAAACTGATATCGTGTCGAGAGACTGATTGGTGTATCCTCCTTCGTCTTTCACTTTCTCTCCTAGACACTATCGGAGGCAATCTAAAACCGACAAGGAGGTAAAACCAAAGCCAAAAGCAAGTAAGTAAGATGGATAAAAGAAAAGAAACCCAGAACTGGCGCTCACTAGTAACACTGACGACGGTTAAGTAAGTTGCAATGACCGCAGAAATTCCGCCTCCGCTGATGGTCCGTGCGCTGGCAGAATCGTAGTCCTCTTGAACTCCATCGTAACATAGCGTACCTAACTTTCCTAGTCTTCAACCCAAGTCCGCTGTTGTCATTGTCTGCACGTTGCCGGTTCGCCTTTTCTTACATTTACCCTTTTTAGTACAAGATGTTCGCTCCCGGTATGTATCCTGTGGTCTTTTTTTTATTAGGGAGTTTTTATCCGGGATGGTTGGGCTAATGCTGTGTTTCTGTTGTTTTAGGTCAGGAAACGCTCTCGAAGGAGCAGATTAGAGTATGCAGCTTTGCTTGCTTGGTTTTGTAATCATGGTGAATTGAATGTGTATGCTGATGATAGGGTGCAGGCTGGTGAGCAGGAGGCTCAGCAGACTATCCGCTCTGCCATCACCGGTGGTATCCTTCTGTATCTCTGTGAGTTGTTTCCCGCTTTTCATATTGCTGGGGAAAATAGATGAAGCTAACAGGTGCAGCTCCCTTCGCTATCGATTTCGTCAAGAAGTTCCTTTAAGCGGCCGATAATTCGTACGGTCTACGTTATGACGGGGATTCATTAGACGGCGTCACTTTGTCTGTTTGTTTGCTCGTGCCTAGCCAACGGCAGAGATGTATTATTATTGTACATTCGGGTTATCATTGCGGAAAATATAGAATGAAGATGGGGAAATGACAAAGTGTCGGTTTTTTGGGTTTTTCTTCTTCTTATCTAAGGGGTTCCGAATCGGATGAATTGCAGATGACCAGCTCCTATAACTCCTTGCTCCCGGACATTCAACCTAAGCCATGTATTCCCCCCGAGTGTCAAGATCAATCGTAGCGTAGCGAGCACAAGGCTAGTGATCTACCCGGCCTTGGAGCTTCTCTGCCTCTTCGAAGTCCTTCCTCACGGACTCCAGTTCCTTCTGCAGGTGCTTGATCTGGGTATGGTAGTCATCCAATATCTGGCTGCTGTTAGTAGGGGTCGGAATAAAGGAATGTGAGGCTCGGTGCCTACCTTCTTAGCAGTCTTCATCGTCTGTTCGTCCAGCTCGTCATCCGCCTGGGCAGCTGCACTCGGGCCAGCCTTCTCCATCTCCAGCTGCAGGCGTTTCGAGTGTTCCTGGATCGCCAGCATTCGAGCCCAGATCTCTTCTTCGCGTCCATTCAAGGAGGGGTCGAAGACGGAGCGTTCCAGTAGGGCGAGTTTCTTCTTCAGTTCCTCCTCGGCGTCGTCCATCGCGTAGCCCCGGTTGCGGAGGACCTGGGTCTTGGCCGCAAGCGCCAGGCACCGTTTGCTCAATACGAGGTGCTTCCGCCGGCAGTCGGCTATCCTGACGGAGATCTTAAGGTCGTGACGGGAGAGCAATTCGGTGAGACAGTTGTTGATCTCGTGAAGGCGGGTTTGCATCATTGTAAGGAAGTCCTTCTGTCTCTGGGCTCTCTTGCCCAGCTCGAAGAAGCCCCTCACAATAACAGGCACATAGCCTGGCGCAGGCCTCTTGCGCAACGCTTCCTCCCACTTCGATTCATCATCGTCCGGGCCGGGTTGGTAGAAAGGTGCCGCCTCCTCGCCAACATGGTTGTACAAGTATGCTCGAAACGGAGAATTACGACTGGCGGTATCCCACTTATCCTTGACGATCGCGATCTGTGTCGGAACGGTGCGATGTACTACGAGAGTCAGTGCAATCCATCTTCAACAATAATCAAACAAACAAGACTAACCTCCAGTGACCGCGCGACCAGGCGACCAAAGGCTCGACCCGGGCTGTTGCACCGACTGGCCCAATTGAGGCTGTTGTTGCTGCTGCTGGCCCTGCTGTTGTTGACCTAGTAGGGTTCCTCCAAACATACTCTGTTGTTGCTGCGGTTGCTGCTGTGTCTGACCCAATCCTCCGAAAAGACCGCCGCCCTGTTGCGGCGCTTGTTGCTGCTGTGTCGTCTGTCCCAGTGTGCCTCCAAACAGACTGCCCTGGGGCTTCTGCTGACCCAGCGCACCCCCGAACAATCCACCGCCCGACTGTTGCTGCTGCGGCTGCTGTTGCTGTGTCGACTGGCCCAATCCCCCAAAGAGACCACCGGCGGGTTTCTGCTGAGCGGCAGTATTCCCGAAAAGTCCGCCCGTCTGCGGTTGATTCTGTGTCGTGGTGTTGCCGAAAAGACCACCGCTCTGCTGAGGCTGGGATGTCGCCGCCGACGCACCGAACAAACCACCGCCAGCAGCAGGAGCACCCCCTGTCGCGCCCTGGTTCTGTGTCTGTCCAAAGAGACCGCCGCCGCTCTGCTGCGCTCCCGTTCCGGCGGTATTCGAGCCGAACAGGCTTCCTCCCGTGGCAGCGCCGCCAAAGGGGCTGGGCTTATTCGCGGTCGTCGATGACCCAAACAGTCCGCCGGACTGCTGGGTCTGAGTCTGATTTCCAAAGAGAGACATTACGGTACGTAGCTGAGGTGCGAAGTCGGGGAAACGTGAGGCAAACTGTGCGAGTAAAAATGGCGTGTGCAAATATCAACACTCAAACGTAAATAAAATGAAAATAAAAAAAAAAATACCAAAGCTCCGCACCAAGCGGCGTCGTTCTGCAGATGGGAAAGTTCGGTCGACAGAGAATCGCAGATTGTCACCGTCCTGCGCGTATGCAAACTCAGTGTCGGTCCGAGATCTCAGCACCGCACGCTGCAGCAAAGCAGCAACTTCGTAGAGGGTCGGGGGTGCAGAACCACTGCAATTGAAACAGGCTACTTCCTTCACTGTACTCGTTCACTTGTGTCGGGAGCTGGTTTGTTTTTCGCCGTGTCACGTGAGACAGCTGTAGCAACAAGTTTCTTTCCCGCCTAAGGCAGGCATAGGATGACTGGCCTCGGATGCGGGATCAGACACGCCTCAGGCAGATATATTACATAACTCACCACAACGGACCAATGACAGACGAGCAAAAACCGACCTCCAAACTCCAGCATCACCCGGACTCGTCCATCCACGGCCCTCCTCTCTATACGGTCTCCCAATTCCCCAATTCACGCTTACGACCTGACAAAATGGCGGCCCGAGAACCTCAGTATGTTTCTTTCTCCTACCACGGCCCCAATTGACCACCGCTGCCGGTGTTTGCCGTGTCAAATCGAGCGAGACGCTAATGCGGTTTCCATGATAGGTTCAACCAACAGGTCCTGGTGGACACCACGCCCATGCCGGCGGACATTCCCAGTGTCCAGGAAATCGGCGCAACCTCGGCACCCCTGACCAGTGCGGCGTACTTCATCGGCGACAAGTGCAAGGCCTTCAATGATGACTACATGAAGTGCAAGCAGGATGCCAACGGCAGGGGGGAGTTCGATTGTCTGAAGGAGGGCCGGAAGGTGACGAGATGTGCTGCTTCTGTGTATGTGTCTTCCTTCTCTGCGGGTGCTGTTCGCAGGGCTCCAGGGGAAGTGGTGTGGTGAGAGGGTCAGTGGCTAACTGCATGGCAGTATCAAAGATATCAACACCCACTGCCTGAAACAATTCACCGCGCACTGGGAGTGTCTGGAGAACAACAACCACCATCTGTGGGAATGCCGGAAGCCCGAGCTGGAACTGAATAAGTGTGTCTTTGACAAGCTGGTTTGTCTCTCGTGCTGAATAGCAGTTCTGTGGTCGGTAGTTTTGGCTAATGGATTCATTGCAGGGCCTCAAGAAGACAATCCCCGGCGCCCCCGAGGGCCAGACCCCGGTTCATCTGCGTCCCAAGCAGATTTATGCTCAGTTCCCTGGTCCTCAGTATTAGGTTTTGTTTTATGTCTGTCTGGTCTGGTCTGGTTTGTGGACTGTTTGTATGTGTACATATTAGCATAGGAATTGAGTGTCCTGGTTTCTCGGTCTAGTGTCGTGTCTACATCTTCGATCTGGTATTAGAAGGACTTGAGTTTATTTGGCAATTGCAAACGCGACTTCTATGCTAGAATACAGTGAAGCCTTGACTCTAAACCAACACCAATCCAACCTCCTGACATTAACATGGCATGACAAAAGAAATCACAGCGAAAGAAAGACAAGGGAATCTAATCAGGATATATGAAGAAGAATATGTACTCGAAGAAAAAACAAAACAACCGCCAAGCTAAGGGCATTTATGTACCTTGGACATCCGTCGAAGCCCTTTCAACTTCAACAATCGCGTCTTCACCTCGGCCCACCCGACCTTGAGCTTGTTCTCCAGCCGTCGGTCTCCGCGAATGCGCATCCAGATCAACAGCATCCCCAGAATGGCCAGGTCCCAGATGACCTGGCGGAGCGTGACCCAGACGAGCCATTTCAGCCACGCCCAGAGGCTATTCCGCCGCCGGTGAGCCACAGCACGGGCTTCCATCTGCTCCCGAACCGCGGCAATCTCGGCGGTCATGCTCGTCAAGGCCTGCTCGACTCTGCGCCGCCACCGCCGAGGATCGACATCCGGGGGTTTCTTGGGGCCGGTGCGCCCACGACCGCGTCGTACGGCCTCATCGGCGTCCGGCTCACTCCCCTCCTCGGGGCCATTGTTATACGAGCCATCGTCGTGGTCATGATCGTCATCATCTTCGTCAAGATTATCCTGCGCCTCCGCATACTCCTCATCCTCGTCATCGTCCTCCTGCACCGGGACCCCACGGGACCCATGCCGCTGAAACACTTCCTCCGGCTGACTCACGGGACTCAGCACGCGTAGCCGCGAGTCACCGCCGCGCGCCGTAGCCACCATATGCTCATAGTCAGGGCGAGCCAAGCGACCCCCGATGCTCCCATAGCTAGGCTGGGACAGCGACAAGGGCGGAGCAACAGCCTGCACGGGACTACTACTGGACGCCGACGACGCGGAGGTATTGATCTTGACCTGGTCCCAGACGAACTCGAGCTCGGAAACCAGCTCGCGGGCCTCGGGCGTCTGCGACGCATAGCGGTGCATGGTCTCGATGAGCGTGGAGATGTATCGACGTTTGGCCTCGGTGCGGGATAATCCACGTTGCGCGAACCATGCATCCCTGTTTTTTTTCTCTCCCGTTCAGTATCGACCCCGGAAATCAAATGGGGGGGGGGGGGGGGAAATATACCACTTCTCACACTCCGCATACACATCCGCCGTGTTCCCGACCGGTCGGTCCATCACCCCCTCCACGTCGCCCTCTGTTTTCCCCCTGTCCGTCAGTATATCTCCTCTTCGAGGTATTATCGGGGTCGATCCATACCCATGCTTTGTTTGTACAGGCCATAGAGCTTCAATCGCTCCGAGGCCGGCGGCCGGGCGGTGCCGGTACGGGGGATGCGTTTAACGGTGTTGAGGGCGTGGACGAAGACTCGATCTGTAGGTTTTAACCATAAATATCAATTCACCTTAAACCAAAATATAAAAAAAAAACAACAATCAATCGAATAAAAAGAGAAAGAGAGACATACCCACAGAATCCGACATGGTGCTATGTTAAGTAAGTTGCTCGCTTCATCAGAGCACAAGGATCTCAGGCACAGATAAGCACCGTCATGGATAACGATAAAACGGCCGATGTTTCCCCCCCAAGAACTCTCACCAAACGAGCGTGTGAAAAGAGCCAAAAAACAAAAGAAATCCCACACCCATAAACCGAAATAATATACACGCAGCCCGACAAGTAACCCCAACAAATACAAACAGTCAGGACAAGGCGACGAGAAGGAAAAAAAACTTGGGGGCGTGCCCGACGTTTACAAGCTTTCCCCGGATTTCCGGCCAGCCACAACCAGAAGGCGAATTGAGCGAGGTTGGTTGCGCTGTGTCGCGTTCAATTCAGGAGGAATGTTTGGAATTGTGCTTCTTGCGCTCCCCCTTTTTTGGTTCTTGTTTGGACGTTTCCTGTGAGGGCGAAATAGGGAGCGAGGAAGTGGAAGTAGTTAGTTCGTAGATCGGTGGTGGTGCTCGAACCCTTTGACTGGCTGGTTGATTTGGCGTGGGTGGAAAAGTAACCGCGGCTCTCGGAGGCTGGCGCAGTGACATGACTGTGATCGTTCAGTCCCTCGAATTGTTGCATTGTGGTGCCCCCAGCGGATACTTATCGATCAGGCCATATCTTTATTATACATGTCTCTATTTTTACGTATTCTTGTCGTGACAGGACTACAATTGATTTCTGTATATTCTCATGTTCATTGCACGGGTTGGGTGTATTATAACTTGGTTGATTGTATTTATTTACTTCCCAACAAAATAGACTCCTCGTATGTACATGTGAAAGACTAAAAAAAAACACCGAACGATCCCTAAATAATTTCATCGATCGTAATTCCAAATAAGACAAGGGGGGAAGGAAGAGAAGAGCCAATCACTTCTTTTCATTAAGGGTCGCATCGTCCGGATAGGCATTTTCGGCATCAACAGCCTTGCCGGGGATCACGTCGGCCACGTCTTCGCTCGTGACAGGCGGGCCCGTGAAATGCTTCCTCGCATACACGACATACCAAGTGATACTAATCGCGGCGAAGCCCGCGAACACGACGCTGGCGTAGTTCATGCTCGACGCATCGACCGGCAGCGACACGGGCATGCAGAAGAGCACCACGGCCAGCACAATCCAGCAGACGGTGACGATGTTGATGGCGTATCCGAAGCGGCCTAGGGAGAAGGTCGATTCCTTGACGGCCTGGCGCCCGCGGATCACATTGATGAGGATGGGGACGCCGTAGGAGGTGGAGAGGCAGATGGTGGCGACGCCCGTGAAGGAGTTGAAGGCGGCCGTGGATCCGAAGAAGATCAGGCCGAGGAGGCAGTCGATGACGGTGGAGAGGAGGATGGCGTACACGGGCACGTCGAGGCGGTCGTTGACCTTGCGCCAGATGCGGAATCCGGGGATGGCGCCGTCGCGAGCGAAGGCGTAGGTGCATCGACTGGCAGCGGTGAGGGCCCCGATTCCTGCGAACATGAGGATACCCAGGATCAAGAAGAGAAGACCGAATCCGCCGGCGGCGGACCCGGTGACGGTTTTGAAGACCAGGCCGATGGGTTGGCCGCTGGCGACGTTGAGCAGGGTCTTGACGTCGGGCAGGACGAAGAGGATCGGGACTAAGTAGACGACGCCGGTGATGCCAGCGGCGACGACCGAGAGGACGATCGCTTTCGGGACCTCGCGGTGTGGGTTCTGCACCTCTTCACACATGGCGGCCACCATGCCATACCCCGTTAAGGTATATGCCGCCTGAAGGAGGCCGACGAAGAAGGCCCATCCCGATGGCCTGCGAGGTCGTCAGTCGGACTTCGAAAATCCAGAAACAAAACAAAGAACGGGGAGAAAGCCTTACCATCCGCTCTGCGACGCATCATAATGGCCAAAGACATATGCACCGTCGTGGCGATGGTCCGCCATGGTCAGGAGGGTAATCAAGATGATCACCACGCTCGCTGCAGTCCAAAAGATGCACACTTTGTTGATGATGTCCAGCCATCGGGAAAAGAAGATGTTGACCATCGCGCAGACCCAAATCACTGCCCAGAACATGAGGATGGTCTGCCAGGCATTGGCCACGAAATCCTCGTTCCACAGCGAGATGGCACTCAGAATCAGCTGTCCTCCGGAGAAGGTAATGCTCAGGGTGACCGTCCAGTTGCCCACGAGGGTCAGCCAGCCATCCACAAACGACATCATCGGGGCCCATTCCTTCGTTGACAGCATGGCGCTCCAGTAGTAGACGCCGCCGGCGGTCGGGTACACGGCGCAGATTTCGGCGAGGGAGGCGGCGATACCAATGGAGATGATGGTGACGAGGACCCAGCCCCAGATGATGCTCACGCATTGGCCGTCGGTGAGGGTGATGTACAGGGTGGTGCTGAGACCGAAGGGTGCGGCCATGATGGCGAAGGAGCTGAAGAAATGGTGTTAGTTGTCATTGAGGATAGAGCAACACCTTCAGAGCAGCGCAGGGTACTACACATACAGACCGAGGATACTCAACATGCTCAGGTTGCGAGGCAATTCACTCTTGTAGCCCATCCGGGCCAACGCCGCGTCGGCGTTGGCATCGGCGGAGCCTTGACGCATGACTGGAGGAAATTAAGAGTTCAAAGACACGGGGCAGATATGAAAGGAATCCAGAGTCATCCCGACAAGATCAAGAGGGTTAAAGATATCGCAGTAGGGTAGTAGTCAGACCAGCTCCTACTAGCACAGCTACCTTCACTCCCCAGGCTAAGGCCGGGGAGCGGAGGCATATAAGTAGTCGTCCGGATAGCATCCATGACCGATGTCCATCACCAAGAGTCCGGGGTACGACACGAGACCAGGAACCTAAAGCAACTCCACTTGGGGTCTTGGATTGTCCCCTCACGAGCCTAAAACTGGTTGGATCGACTGATAAGCCAATCCGGTGTCGGACTAGCGATGGGCGGTCCGAGACCGCGCTGATAACCGTGGGATTTATAAAGCGTTCTGCACGAGGTTATCATTAGACCTACTAAGCCCTATCCTTTGTGCTTATCATGGCTGGGCGGAGGGCCGCATAGCCTGATACTACCCTGGAGGATAGGCAGCAGAAGAACGTCTCCCTCTTTCCCGTTCGTTTGTTGACTGATTGACATCTCGACTAGATAACAGGTCAGAGAACTTAACCCCCGACGTCAGACCCTGAACAGTACATGTATGTAGGTACCTCGGTTTGCCGCTGAACTGCATGACATGCTGCGGAATGTAAAACTCCTCCGTCTGCAAGGCAAACGGAAACTTAAATTGACATCGTGAACCCTAGCATCCAGCTGTGGCCACTACGTAAGGTCTGGACCAAAGTGACGTCTGATGGTAAAGAGCATAGCTATTGCGCCGTTTCCTCGTATTCAGGAGAAAGCTAAGGAGCCAGCGTCCTGTGGTCCATGCGGTGGAGTGCAACCCAACGGAACCACTCTTTGCCCTCCCGAAATGCGGGGGATTCAAAAGGAGGTTCACAAATGGTCCGCCACTGCTTATCTGTCTTTTCTTTATGCTAACTCGATCGGTCTATTTCTACGACTCACTCCCATCGGGCACACGGTGTGAGATATTTCTAACATTCCATTCACAGCTATCATTCCAACATACATATATCTGCGAGTGTCACTCAGAAAGTGACGGCTGCCACATCCGTCAACTGTCCTGTCCACAGTTCTCCCTCGCGAGAACAGAGCCGTCCATCAGTGCATGGATCACGGTCGGGGCAAAAACAAGGATGAGCGCCAGGAAAGAAGAGAAGAAAAGGTGGAGGGTGTCTGGAAACGAGAGGAATGGGAGGGAACCGTTGAGGGATATGAAAACAATCCGAGCGTGGTGAAACACTGGGAAATCGGGGGGTATCAAACAAAGGGGCATGAACGTGTATATGATTATGGAAACAGGACTTGCTCGGGAATTTTGGAATTATGGCTTTTTTCTTTTTTTGGCTTCTCTTGAATCTCTAACATACGTGAGGTCCGCAGTCCAGGGCGAAAGTAGGCCCAGTATCTTCGATGAAAAGTCGAAGTCCCGAAATCCCACAAGGGGAAGTAGAGGGGGAGCGGACAGGGACAAAATAAACATAAACAGAGGGGAGGAAAGTGAGGAAGGGAGAGAGGGAGGAAGGAGGGGAAATGATGGGAGGTATCGTCGACCACAGGCCGGGCGGGTCTTCTTGGGCGGGTGGTGGGCCAGTCTGGGCATCAACAACGGCCCTGCCACCTGGCGAGCGCTTCCCACCGCCACTTTGCAAGCATTCGCGACCTCCGTTAGCCTGTACATCGGCTGCCTTCACCGTCAAGTAGGAGATAAATAGATAATATGACCACGGCCTCGTCGCAAGGCCTTAGCTGAGTCGTAACCAGCCAGCTATCGTCAAAACTCCGTCGCGGTAAAAATAAGATCCAAGGGGGTCACAAAAGATGAAAATCAGAAATGAAAACACAAAAGCTAAAAACGCCCAATCATGCAGTCGTCAATCAAATCGTTACATGGAGATGATGCTGTTATACCGGTATGCAAGTACACACACAAAGTCGAGGAGGGTGGCCCGATTCAAGGACTAAGAACGTTGCAAAGATCGTCCGTGGCGTCCATTCCAAACCCAGCCATATCGACAGAGTGCAAAGAACCGGGACCTCGACCCAAGGAGATGTCAGATGAGGCATAGTCGTGCTTCAACCGCTCGTGAGGTCCAAAAAACGGCCGAGTTTCTTCGTTGGGCGTGTTTCCATCGCCTGCAGCCCAGGGGCCATGCTGCCAGAACCGTGTGTTGGCCTGCTGGTCGCCAAAGAGGTCATGATGGTCGTGATGCGTTTCTGGTCCGTGGGCGTTGAAATCGTTCGGTGATTGGAAGCGCAGGTGCGTCCGGCTGAAACTGGAGCACGGAGAGTCCGCGTGGAGCGGGAAATCCAGACCTGACAATGGCATGTCCTCGACGGTTGTTATGTCTATCGTGGGATTCTCGGTTTGCTGGGCTAGTGCCGATGCGAGTCGGAAGTTCGAAGCGGAGCTCTGACGGCTGTGACTTGTGGACCGCTCGATAGCCCGTTGTACAAAACTGCCACAGGTCTTCAGAATCTTTTCCTGGTCCTCCGGGGAGAGACTGGCGAAGTAGTCGTTGGCCAGCGATGGTTTAGGGAGCTCCGGCTCGGATGGAGTCAGCCCGAACGTCTTCTGGGCATACTCGGTAAAACCAGAAGGCATGTCGTACGGGGACTGATAGACGGTCGGCGACTGTTCACGCTGCTGCTCCAGGTACGCAAACTTGCGAGGCAATTTGACAGCTGCAATACCGCCTTTGTGGGCACTCTCCTGCTTATTATTTTCCGTCTCCTTCTTCTGAAGCACATCGAGCCGATCGCGGTGACTGACAAGGGAGAACCGGAGCATCTGCAACAACCGGGTCACCTCTTCGGAACGCATATTGAGTGGCTGCAAGGGTAACAAGGTTCCGTCCGGGGCGCGAGGTTGGACCCGTTGTTGGGCCATGGCGAGTTCCAGCTTCTCGAGACCACTGGGCGGCGGCACGGAGCCCATGGGACCCAGAAGCGTCTCAACGACTAGCTCCGGGCTGACAATCGTATACCCGGCGAAGACATTGGCATGGTCGGTGATCTGGGCCAGGCGGCGACGAGCAATAAGCTCCCGGACATTGGCAAAGGTATTCGCGGGGAGATGGTGGCTGTGCTGCTGCTGCTGCTGCTGTTGTTGTTGTTGCGGACTGCGTTGCTGCTGAGACAGTTGGTGTGATTGATGATGGGTCTTGGCGATCTGAGGGTACGGAGCATGGCGGGCAGATTGAGTGGGCAGGGAGCGATAGGCTGACGGCATCGCAGTACTAGCAGGAGGAGCAGCAGAGGAAGGAGTGCGAGGAGGAGGGGCAAGAGTCGGTCGCTGCAGGAGGGAAGGGCGGGAGGCAGCAGCGGCGGCGGTGGCGGTGGCAGCAGCACCAGCAGGTGAAAGGTGATGAGGAGGGGCAGCAGCATACTGAGGAAGATGGCGGTGGGGGTAAGAGGGGAGCCGGGCCATCACGGCGCCAAGGGACTTCACGCTGTCCAGGAAATTCGACCGCGGGTTGTGGACGGGCACGCTAGGGTTGTGCGTATATTGAGCCCTACATTCGGTCGATGACTGGCCCAAATAATACCAGACCTGGTCACCTTTGTTCAAGTTGACCTGCACTGGTGGTGGGGCAAAGCGGTGATTAGTCGTGTCGACCGTCTCGAACTCGGCCCACTGATACGGAGATCGCCCATCGCCAAATGGATTGCCAACCACCGGCAGGGCCGATTCCAACTCTTTCCGTCCCTCGGGTTTTCGGGCTAAGTGGGCAGGGAGTGGTTTTGTTCCTGGTGCCAGAGGCGAGAAGTTGCTCCGCCGTACCACAAGCATCCACCGGTACGGTAACTCAATTACATCTCTAAATCATTAAACCAGGGGTCAGCGTCATGATTTCCAAATCAGGAAAATTCTAAACACCACAGCAAAACAAGTATGTGTGTGTGCCAAAAGTGAGAGGGAAAAAAAAAAAAAAAAAAAAAAAAGGGCTTACCCGCGTGGGAGCACTTTGACTAGCAACGTGCGTTCCGCTGGTCGGTTCTCCAGCACCACTGCCCCATTGATCTCCTTGTCGGCCTGGAATTGCACCAAATCTCCTGCCACCATCCGGCGGGCCGTCTCGATCAGCTTGCGGTCATAATCGGGAGAATCGCCGCCCGTCATCCAGCTTGGCTTCTTCTGTCGGTGGTATTTGCATTTGAGGTCCACACTGGGGATGGAGTAATGATTGCCGTCATCCGCGATCACAGCGATCTCACCCTGCTCCACCTGCACTCCGGCTAAAAGTGCACAGGTGGCATGGTATGATCGCGTACATTTGCCGAAATTGCACTGGAAACAAGCTCCTCGCACCTCGCGGCAAAAGAGGCATTTGAGCCCCATGCGAGCCTTCGGGATCTTGTCAATGTCACACACCACCTCCTTGCCAGTCTCGTCACGCAGGATACTGGTCTCTTCAGTGTATAGGGCACAGCGCCGATGGGCGTGATTCTTCCCATCTTCGGTGGGTAGTAGGTCCTCATAATCCAGGTTGTTGGGGCACAGTACGCACGGAATCTTCCGAGGGACCTCGACATTGACTCGCATGCGTTTCGCCTTTGTAGAATCGCCGTCATGCTTTCGTTTCCGGCCACGGTTACTCTTTTCTGGGACACTCCGTGGTGGGGTGAGGAGGTCGGAAGCACCCTCGAATTCATCGAGGTCACTTTCGAATTCACCGAAGTATTCCGGCGTCGATTCGCCGCGCAGCTTACGCTCAATCTCATCGACATCGATCCAGACGCTGTCAGATTCGCAGTGGCACTTCTTGGCAACACGACCGTAATCCAACCACTTCTCAGTCGCAAAGTTGACCGACTCGGCGCAGTTGTAACCAAGATTGTATCCCGAGTGATATCCGTACGGGTATGTGATCACAAACTCGCCCTCATAGTGGACGAGCCTGTTGACGGTGATACCGTACTGAGACTTGAGGAGACTAGGAGAAACAAGATAGGTCTTATGGCGGAGGAACTGATCACAGTTTTTCGCGTCGCTGGGCCAGATACCTGGCGTAATAGTCAGCATTGATTCATGGGCCCATCACGTTATGTAAACGTACTCTTCATAGCCTGTTCAAACCGAGGAGCATCTTCTTGTGAAATGCTATACCACTGTTTGGGGGCACCAAAATGGATATAGTTGATACTGTACAGATCAACATCTTCCAAATGCCAGGCAAAAGTAGCTTTCCACATCCCCAGGTAGAGGTATGCGGTGTTGACACCAGGCACTTTCTGCCCCAAGACATCCAACAGATTGGGTAACTTGGCGACGTTCCATGAGGTTGTGATGTTCTCGTCGAAAAGAGAACCAGGCATATCCGCGCCATACATCGGATTGTTAAACATCAAGGACTTCCAGTAGGCGGTTTCTAATTCCTCACATCGTTCCTGCGTATATTCCTCGTGGTCGTGGATGCGATAATCAAAGTCTCTGAAAGCCTCCTCGTCCACATAGTCAATCGCATCGCCTTTATTGTGTTTTCTTCGCGAGGTGACCGATTTAGGTTGCCGTCCTTTCGGCTTGGTAGTGGGAAGAGACTCGCCGTCGCTCAGCTCTTCCGTCTTCGCCTCGACCGGGTTGGATTCAGGAGACACAGGCGTGGGAGGGCCTTCGGGCTTGATCTTATCAAGGGAATCTTCCGCAGGCTCTTCCTTCACCTTCACCTGGTTGGATCGTTTGGGTGGACGTCCCGGTCCCGGGCGACGTTTTTGAGAATCAGATCGGGCCGTTTGAGTTCGGGCGGAGGGGGGAGCACGAGTGACTCGCTCCTGGTTGCGGCGCCTCTCACCTCTGCGGGCAGGAGGCTGATGGCTACTTTCTTCGCACAACCCTTTCCACTGAGGGAGGTTGTATGATCTTTGTCGCTCGATGTTCGCCTGGGTGTAAGTTCCATGTGATCCGTGGAATTCCTGCATGATCGGATTCTTCACACGAATCTTCTTGACGGCTTCGTCGAGGGCTGGAAGGGAGTCGGTCCTAGAGAAAAGAGCTGGTTGGCAACGGCCCTTGGAGAGAAAATCGCCGTAGAGAAGACATACCATTCCTTTGGAGGAACAACCTTCAAAATTCCAGACCGCATGCCATATTTCTCGACCTTGTTGATGAAAGATTGGAAGTCCCGAAATTGATCCATAGTCTAGGCCTCCCCGTCAGTGACATCATCAAAGCCAGGGACACTGGAAGAATGCAAAACCTACCGGTTTGAACACAGGGATCTTGCCCCCGCCATAATAGTGGTCTGGTTCGATGTCTTCCTCTTCTTCCTCTACCGATGCGGTCTCTGGCGCACCAGTAGCATGAGGATCGAGTTCCAGATCCGACAATTCAGAAGGAACACCATCTGGAACTTCTTTCTTGCCGTTGGCGCTATGAGGGGGAGTGATCGAGGCGGCGGTCGTCGCAGGAACCGCGACAGATTCAAAAAGGGGTTGATCAAGCGCTGCCGCCATCATCTCAAGCACGATGGAAAAGACGGAAAGATAACTGTTCGGATTTCGATATGGGTGCCGTCGTCGGAAGAAGCGACCGCTGATCGACGGCGAAGAAGAGATTCCCAGCGGTCGGGGAAGAAGGCGCTAAGGAATAGATATCTGCTCTTCTGTAGCGATGTTATTATCGGGAAACGGCTTCTTCCGATCGGAATATGTGCTGGGGAGGATCAACTTCAGGAGCAGCCGAAAGGAAAGGGGGACAGATAAGTAGATGGAATGTGTTAAAGGCGGGAGTGATATAATAGTTGATCCGAGCTTTCTCGAAACGAATTGCCGGGTGTATCAAAAAACAATCACTGTCGGACAGTCATAGAAAGGGATAGATCACGGGGAAATGATAAGTAACAAGCAGTTACATAGATAAAGGAGAAGATTGGCAAGTGGATGATGCGATCGATATCACCAGCATCGGGGAAGGTCCAGCAAGCAAAGCAAGCCCCTCCTCCAGTTTGAGGGATTGGGACGAGAAGATTTACCGTATTGCAGGACCAAGAAGCAGCAGATGCTCAGCAACGAGGGCGCTAGTTCGCCAGCAATGCAGAGGCAGGATCTTCTAGTGGGAAAGCGATGGGGACGCTAAAGGCAAGAGGACGCAGAAGGGCAGGGGATGGGCAGGACCAATACCAGCGGCACATCGGACGGTCAAGTGTGGACCCGGCCAGAGCACGATGGTCTGACTATGCGACGCTGTGGTAGGCTGCAGGAAGGGTGGACACCCTTTGAAACAGGTTGAAATGGTTATTGGAAGGAAAGTGCAAGATGACTGGGCGGATGAGCAGCCTGAGCGCCTGAAAAGGACTTTAAGGCACCAAGCTAGCCGATGGCCTGAGCCAGCTTAAGGGAGGTAATTTTTTCCAGCCGCCGAGAGCAGATCATCAAGCACGTACGTCTCCGGTCGTCGGAAATAAACACCCTCAGTTGGAACAAAGAGATAGAAAAAAGAAGAAAAAGTTACCTTCACTTACCAGTATCCAAAGTAGCTGTCGAAGGATGAATGATATGTATCCGAAAATCTAATCGAGAAAGGATTTGACGATACACAAAAATAGCAAAAAAAAAAAAAAAAAAAAAAAAAAAAAAAAAAAAAAAAAAAAAAAAAAATAAAAAAAAAAAAAAAAAAAAAAAAAAAAAAAAAAAAAAAAAAAAAAAAAAAAAAAAAAAAAAAAAAAAAAAAAGGTGAAGTAAAGATAATCAACAGAGATGAACCGTGACGCAAGGATCCATATACAAGAGTTACCGGTCTATGTTAGTTAGTAGGTAAGCTGTCCGAGTGGATGGAACACTTCCACCAGAGCGACGGAATCAGCGGTCGCCAGAGGGATCACGTGCGCCACATGACTTGACCGAAGGAGTAATAGTAATTACGGGAGGAATGGTCAGATACTACACGGGATCCAGACTACACCCGGCGGTAGCCCGCAGCACGGCCGAGAGGCTGTGCAATCAGAAAACAGCCTTGAAACCACCATGATCTCTGTCGACTCAAATCTATCAATCAGTCGCTACGTTGCGAATTTTGGAAACTCGGGTACCGGCGGACCGGCAAGGGAAACTTACCGCTAGAATTAGATACATCGATGAGACACTTAGAAACGCATTAGAAGGCGACTAAAATCAGTTCGTTAAGGGGGTCTGATCGGTTGGTGGAGGATATGATCTCACCGACTGACTCTCTGATTGGAAAGAGGTTAATTAGCCGGTGGTAAAAGCGGCTGGCTTTTTTCTTTTTTTCTTTTGCTTTTTATTTTATTTTATTTTATTATTTTTTTTTTTTTTTCTGGGTCTTTCACTTTTGGCAAGATTGGCTGGATCGATAGGATACGACGGGGTCCCTCGTTCAAAATAAACAATCAGTGGCCTGATACCGATTCTCATGCATAGAAGAAAATATTACTCCGGGAGTACATTCTCCCATGGCATTCAAACTAGATAATCTACTTGATACAGAATCCGATACTACCATGACCGAGTATGTGCCTGAGGCCATCTCAGAGACAACTAACACTCATTGAACTGTCATGCCCTACCGATACAAAACACGCTGTACTCCATACTTACAGGATGTGCGGTGACTTGCAGTTGCAGTAGCCGCATCGACCCCAAGAGGGGAAAGAAAAAGTAAAAACGATAAAAAATTAGAGGTATCATGTACGGGGTACAACACATCAATTCACTCGCCAATACTACCCAAGCCACTAAGCCTATGGAGATCAACAGAACAACTCACAAATGCCCGTTATATTTTCAATTGTCTTTAAATCCCCTATGCTGACAGAGACAGGTTACAAGTGCATACTAGTGCATGCATATATATCTAGTGCATGACTTGCACATGCATATTCGTGGCAGACGTGGAGTGTTTTTCGAAGGGCTGAAGCAATCTCATCGTATTATATATATGTGTGCAAGTCGACATCCCCTCCAGAGCACAACAAACCAAGAAACAACATTAAAAGTGTTCATGGTATACAATTGAATAATAAAAGAACAATCACCCTAACTTGACTCGCATGTTATATACTATTCCACAGGATCGAAGTCATGATGTACATATGTACAGATCAATCGGTGGACAACGCCCTATAAGGTACCGCAATCCAAACGCAAGAAGGGGGGGAAAAAAAATACGGGCTACTTTCAAGCAATCACGAATATGCTATTATGTAAATCCACTGATCTACGGCAATTTCAACTGAAAATTGGGATGGTCGTTTCCGACAGTGGTCGGTTGGGCAGAAAGTCGGTGGCGTGAACACAACGGATGGAAACTCCATGTTCCTCGACGTTTTCGGTATGCGGCAGGCCAGATTCTGGTTGGTTCATTTTCCATCCAGGATTAATTAGTAATAATATTACCTCGCAGAAAGTTTTCTCTCACAGTGCATTCGTGACAGCATTTGAACTGCAAGAAATGACTCAGAGCATAATATGATTTGATTTTGAAGGTACGATATGTACTCAATCACATGATCCGCATCCAACAAAACTACTGAGAACGAGTTTTGAAGAACAAGTAATCGCATTGGTATCTCGCTCTAAATGTGCATATCGTAAATTCTCAACAAGAAACAACCAAACTCCCCAAGGCAGAAAGCATTAGTACTCATTTAGACGTAGTTTCTTGCCAACAAACCGACGTCGTTCGGGTTTCTCATTACGCTCTCGGTCTGTACTCAAGCCTTTGAGTGCATGCAATAGCATTCCGGCGTCGAAGAACCCGTCTGATACGCTGTTAGTGTGTTGTTAAAGATTGATTGAGTCGGGAACTTACATCCGCCCATGCCGTCGTCTTCTATTTCTCCGCTGTCGGTCGTTGGCGTATCGGCACCTCGGCGCACTGCCCCAGGATCTCCCCGGACGAGCCGGCCCCGACGGTGATCCCCTTGGAGCCGCTCGGCGATGATCTCCATTTCCCGGGCCCGACTGGTTCGCGGACTGGCCGTATTACGGTTCGTGGCGCGTAGCAGCTTGCGGATTTCAAACATATACGACTCGAGTGTGTACAAAAACCGAGCGGTCTGGCGGTGCTTGGACGAGGCGCAGAACGAGATGGAGTCATCTTTGATGATATAGCCAATTCCGAAGCCGTCCGCAGACGTTGGGCCGAAACCAAAATGCCGCAGACATGGATTTCCACAGTTTGAGGTTGACAAGATCGTATTGTTGATCTTGTCCCAACCGGGGTCACTGAAGAGTGCTGGGGTGGGTGGCGCCGGGCGAATCGCACGCAAGCCATAGCTGGTCGTGGAGGATACACCATCATCCGATAACGGCGCCTTGGGTGAGTCGATAGTAGAGCCATTCTCGACAGGGCTAGAGTAGCCGTTGGAGCTGCTTATTACACTATTGCCAGAAGAGGAAGAGCCTTCCTCAAAGGACCGCTGCCATAGACAATATAATGCATAGAGGTGTCGATCCTGTCCCTGTCCCTTGGAGCACTCTTTTGTAGTAGCGGTATGCTTTTGAGTTGCCTTCTTCAGAGCCTCCACCTTCTGCTCTGCTGGATTCTCTCCCCAGAAAGTCTGTACAAAATTGGCGCATTCGCTGGTGACGGTCCGTATCGCCTCTGTCCGACCGTGCAAGAAGAACTTGGTCATAGCTGGCTCATAGGTGTTCTCCAGACGGCCATACAGCCCGTAGTACGCAGCTTGGAATGCCATCTGGACGAACGCATCTGGCGAGAACCCCATAGATGTGATGAAATTCTTACCATACCCTTCGAACTCAAGCACACGGAACTCATGCTGCTTGAGAAGGTCGGCGAGATGGGATTCGGCGAATCGCAGGGCAATACTCAGTTCAGGAAGCATGTCCCACTCTAGTTTGCGAGGCGTAGTGCTGACATTGCCAAAACTTCGGGGATCACGCTTGGCCGGGTCGGGGCTGTTACTTGCCCACAGAGTGGGCGCCTGTCCATTGATAGTTTTTGCGAAGCGAAGTATGGTGTCTGTGTAGACGTCACTCGCAAAACGCAGCACCGTATGGCCATCCACGCCGGTATGTTCAAAGTTGATACCGGCACTGCCGTTCTGACACACAATGATCTGGAGCTTGTCATACCACCGGTTGGTACAAGTTCCGACCTGTACACCCTTCACCACTTCACTCGTACCACAAAGCATGTTGGCGCAGAGGTCAGACGTATTGCTCGGCTCAGTATAATCCAGACAGAGAACAAAGAGTGCTGTATCAACTATGTTGAGACATTCTGCGTTGTTTGAGCCCTCATCCTTTGTTAAGATGTCCCGTAGCCCAGACCACACTTTGCGGTTCTCCGTACTGAGGACACCCAAAGCTCCCTTGGCGGCATCTTGGATAGGGGTCTGTTCCGCATCCCCAATGATTACCTGAAGGTTAAGGGCGATGTCCTTCTCAGTCATAATCAGATCATTGTTCTCATCGAGGACATCAAACCAGTAGAACTGGCCCCGACACATGACAACAATGTGCTTGGCGTGAGGGTCCTGACTGATCACGCATCCATTTTCGGTGGGTAGACGTGCTGTTCCGAACAGCCGAGAATATTGATACATGCATAGTGGTGTCCCTCTAACGGTATCCGGCTCGAGTTCTTCGCGCCTCACAGCTCGGACAAAGCTGAGGGCTGATACAACAAGCGATGCTGCCCTGGTGACCTGGTGGTTCCTGGCAGGCGTGGGGTCATCCTCCAGCAAGAAAAATGGATTTAGATTCAAAACGACCGCTGTTAGAGTCAGTATGATGAAGCCCAGATAGTTTCTGTGATAGGGTTTATCTTACGGCTATCGTAGTTTAGGTAAGAATCATACCCTAGGCGGCAGTGTTAGCTCTCATTCAACTCAGCAATGTAATATACCTCCCTCCCTTCACGGATACACTTACAAAATTGTTCAATATAGCTGGTCTTCGAAGACGCATAATTCTTTAACTTCTCTTGAAGAACAGGTCCGTCCGACTTGAGAAAGTCTTGTACAGAAGCC